GGCCTGGCAAGGGATCCTAGCTCCCCGGACTTGCCGCTTAGACCTGCCTATCTCCCATTGCTAGCTCCTCCCCTGCTTACCCGCTATCACTGGCTGAGAGCAGGCAAAGTCGGCTAGATTATCGGATGAAAGTTGGGGGGCTGCGCATTCTCCGGCCCCCAGGGTCGCCTTTGCCCTGCCCCCGGCTCTTAGCTCCCCCCTGGGTTTCCGATCACCCTCAGTGGCAGGGGGCTTCTTCTGTCCTTTCCCTTTCGCCTCCCAGCATTGTGCCTACATATGCAAATTAGCCACCATCTTTGTTGGCGGTTAACCGCCATCTTGGCTGGCAGTTAATTTGCATATCGCCCTGATTAGCCAATGGGAATGGTAGCGGTCGTACGCTAATTACCATGTTTCTCTTTTATTAGATAGGACTAGAGGCCCGGTGCACAAAAATTTGTGCACTCGGGGGGGAAGGGGGGGGTCCCTCAGCCCGGCCTGTGCCCTCTCGCAGTCTGGGACCCCTCGGGAGATAACGGCCTGCTGGCTTAGGCCTGCTCCCGGGTGGCAGAGGGCAGGCCCAATCCCTAGGTGCAGCCCCTGGTCGGGCTCAGAGCAGGGCTGATTGGGGAGCTGGGGCGCCACCCCCTGTCATGCACAGAGCAGGGTGGATCGGGAGGTTGCGATGCCGCCCTCAGTCACACTCAGGGTAGGGCCGATTGGGGGGTTGGGGCACCGCCCCTGTCACACTCAAGGCAGGGTCGATGGGGAGGTTGCGACGCCACCCCCTGTAACACACAGAGCAGGGCCAATCAGGGGGTTGGGGCACTGCCCCCTGTCACGCACAGAGCAGGTCCCATCAGGGGGGTTGGGGCTCCGTACCCTGTCACGCACAGAGCAGGGCCAATCAGGGGGTTGGGGAGCTCCCCCCTGTCATGCACAGAGCAGGGCCCATCAGGGGGTTGAGGAGCTCCCCCCTGTCATGCACAGAGCAGGGCCGATCAGGGGGTTGAGGAGCTCCACCCTGTCACACACAGAGCAGGGCGGATCAGGGGGTTGGGCGCTGCACCCTGTCACACTCAGGGCAGGGCCAATGGGGAGGTTATGGCTCTACCCTGTCACACACAGAGCAAGGCCCGTGGAGGGGGGTTGGGGCGCCACCCTCTATCACCCACAGAACAGGGCCGATCAGGG